TAAAGTAAAGTTAAGGTGCAGATTTGAGCCGGACTCTGCACCTTAACTGAAATTTACCTTACGTTGAGCATGCGATCAACTGAGATCAAATTGTGATCAACTTTACTTCGAAAAATCACTATGATCACTTTGCGATTGGTTTTAAAGTGATCAATTGAAACAAAGCTTAAGGCTAGGAGGAAATTTTAATGGAGGTTTAAAATCTGAAACTTAAGCGATCGAGCCTCCAAAACCGTCGGAAACACCAAACTCCCTTGCTCGCATCTTAAGTTAACTGATACCTCAGGTCATGATTCTTCAAAACGTTTGTGACTTCAGGCAAAAAATAGGCGATTTGGAAGGCAAACCTTGAGATCTTGAAACCTAAACCCAAACTTTAACCTGAACCTAGACACCTAAAGCTCCTCCGAATCGTCGTAAATGATCTATCCGTAGCAAAAAACAAATGAAATGGTGATCGCGGTGATCGTGATCGTTATCGATTGATCAAAAATCACATCGAATCGATTGATTTTTTGCGAGGTATCTATGATAGGCTGCTTCTTGTTGTGTTTTTCAACTAGCCACCTAAGATCTCAACTAACCAACCAAGCAATCAACTAAGTAAATAAATAGCTATCACGAAAATGTTAGCACATTAAGAGATCACAAATCAAAAAGGATTACATCATTCCAAACACACACATCATCATTCAACAGATATTGATCAAACATTGATCAGAGTACGATCGATCTCATGATTGATCACAAAAGTGAAATCAAGTCAGAATGGCTGCCGCCGCCACTGCTGCTGCTGGACGACAAAGATCACCAAAATTCCGACGAGACGGCAATCGATTGATCTCTCGAAAAATCAGATCACAATCTCGAGACGGGAATCGATCGATCTCTCGAAAAATCAGATCACAATCTCGAGACGGCAATCCATCGATCTCTCGAAAAATCACCCAACAATCTCGAGACGCAATCCACCGATCTCACGAAACTCACTGAAATTGCCCAACTTCCCAAAGCTATCTCGAGTCCAACCCCACTCACTTCCCAAAAAATTCCCCAAAAAAAACCTCCCAACACATCAACCATTGCCGTCATCATCGACCAGTCATAAATATATCTAAAGATACGAGAGAGTCAAGCAGAGCAGGCATCGAATACTGCTTAAAAAAGTGTCTTTAGAGAGCATAAAGCATGGATTATATGGCCACAAGCACCAAACAGTCATAAATTATATCGATCTATCGATTTGATTTAACCATATCAAATCAAATCACATCGTTAAGGGACCGTAAAGTTTTTTGATTTTTCATTATTTGAAAGAATAATATTTATAATATTATTATGATTATTATTATTATTATTATTATTATTATTATTATATTACTATTTTACCAAATTAGATCAGA